TCATCCTTTCGGCTTTCCTCGCAGAAATCAGATCGTGTCCGCTGCCAGAATCCAGGATGAATCTACGATCTTTGGCTTGTACTGGTAATGAAACGCACATCATGTTCTTGGACTTTATGAGGGATTTTCCAACTTCGTGTTCGACAAGCTCTTCAATGAAGGTCAAGTCATCACGATCATCGTCCAGCTTGATCAACATGTCGAACTTAGGGCCGATGATGATTCTAACTTCATCAACAAAACGATGGAGTCCGCATCTGTCCATGATGATTGCTTTGGCCCGTGCTCGGACTGAACCAAGTGTGTTGTCGGACTTGGACTGATCGTCGGTCAAATCATCGACCTTCCAGAAGACATACTGCTTGTTGGGGTCACGATACATACGTTTGGGTAGTCCCTCTTGGTAGTTCTCAATTGCAATCTCGTGCACTTCAGATTCCAGATCAAATGAGATTCTGCGAACATCAGAAGACTTCTTTGCGCTGGCTATCCTCGGTGAGGTATAATCCATAGAATCTTCATCGTCGCTATCAAAGAAGGAGTCAATGGTAATGGGAGTCGCTTTCTTCTTTGGCGTCTTTTTGCTGGTTCTTTCTGAAGATGCTGAAGGCGATTGGTCTGCATGTAGGAATTTACATTTGCTCCCAAACGTGCAGGTACCCTTCTGCCAATTCCAACATACCTTCTTTTTGGGTCCAGCTGAAGATGAACTTCCTTTACTCCTTCCCCTTGACGAATCTCGACTTCCACTTCTGCCTTTCTTACCTTTCATCTTGGCATCATAGACCTTCTGAGAATGACTGTAAAGACATTTGTCACCTTTGATGCATCCTCCTTTATTGAAGAAGTAATTACAGAAAATCTTCTTTTTGTCAACGGGTGAAGATGATCTTCCCTTCCCACCTTTGCCTTTCTTGTTATTCTTGTCGGCATGAGATTTCGGAGAAGGTGTAGGAAGTACAGATGCAGCTTCACTCTTCGCTTTCGCCTTAGGCCGTTTGGGAGGATCACCTGTAGACGATGCAGCTGCTTCATTCTCCTTCTTGGTCTTGACGGGAGGGCCAGGCTTGTCTGCATCTTCTAGGGCAGGTGTCGTCTTGTTAGAGGACAATGATAGTTTCACTGCACGTTCTCTATCTTTCAACAGTCGTTCTTGCTTCCCTCTTGCTATGTACCCTTTGATCATACCAGTTAGGTAAACATAGGTCTTCTCAGGATGCCCTTCATCGAAGGTTTTGTATCGATTGATATCAAAGGCCATAAGCTTTGAGTGTTCAATCTTCCGGAACAATGTATCACGCAGGGAATTGTTGGAAGGCAGATCATCATGTTTCATGTTGTATACGATGTCAAGCCACTTGTTGTAGAAGGCCTCAAGCTGGTCATCTCCATAGTAGTTGAACATATACAAATGATGGGCGTTGTAGAGAACTTCAGTATGGTCAGGTGACTTGAAGCTAATCAGTATCATTGCGAATAGTTCTCGTCCCTTGATGAAGTCCCCACTTCTCCCATACAATTGATTCTTCATGGACATGTCATACTTCACTTGCATGGACTTGTCCCCAGCATTGTCAATGACTTTCCTCAAGGCATTGGAGAGCTTGGCATCAATGGATTGGAATCTCACATCGGGTGCTTTGGCCAGGACCTCCAAGTCAGGTTGATCTGCAAGACACGGAGCTAGCCACGCTTTCCAATCTTCATAGTTTCGATCTCCACTTGCAACACAAACTTCATGAACGACACTTCCCTTCCAGGATGAAAGTTCAGTGGTCTTAGGCCAGGGTTGGAGGCTGATCTTTTCGGCTTCTCTTAGAGATACGGATGACTTGGATCTATCCCTTTCAAGGTTCTCCAACTCCTTGACATTGGTGTTGTACTCGTTCCTGAGCTTTTCGAAGGCTTCAGCTTCTGCTCGGTATTCCTGCTCTTCATCGTTGGCGCGATCTTCAGCTTGAGAGAAATTGTTCTTATAGTAGTCTTTCCGATCTTCCATCTTCTTCAACTCATCTTGAAGATTTCGAACTTCATTGTTCTTCTCTTGCTTCATCTCGTCCAACTCCGCTTTCAATTTGGCGCATTTCTCTTCACATTCATTCCGAGGCATAGCATTACTGGGGTACCCATGTAATGTAGTCGGTCTGTTCTTTGATGAAGAAGAATGAGCTTGATTTTCCAGCTTCAGGGCAGCAATAGTGCTCGACATCTCTTCTACCTCAGCGAAACGCTCATTGGCCAATTGATGCATCTCAGTCAAGTGGCTTTCAGGAATGGAATAGTCAGTCGCACCTTTGATCACGAGTCTTCTGTCGTTCAACATCTTGATGGACTTACCTGCATCCCTGTGAGCACGCTCAAGAGAATCCTTTTGGGCTTCAAGTTCAGTATGAAGGCGAGCAATAGCTGTGTCCCTGTCATTGATTTCATTGTGCAAACTGTCGAACAAATCACTCGTCACATTCGGATTGTTGCTCATGTGATCGATCTTGTTCAGAGCATCTTGATATTTCTTACCAGTTTCATCGAAGTTTCGCTGGAAGACTTTGAGCAGGTCCTCAGTGTCAATGAGTTCAGTTCTGTTCTGCAAGTACAACTTGTCAACTTCAGCCTTGGATTCTTTCAAGCTGTCACGCTCACGCACGGCTTGCATATACATCTCGTATAGAGGCCCTCCATGTGGTGATCTGCTTGGTGAAGATCTTCTGGCTTGTTGACAGGAAAGTTCATGATACTGATTCTTCGATTCAGTCAGTTGTTGTTGCATTCGATCTAAAAGACTTTGTTTCATGTGTAGTTCAGAACGTAGTCCCATGATCCTCATGTCCCGCATGCCGCCTGATTCAGCTAGAGATTCTTCAGAAACCCTGTTCTCAGAAATCGCTAGTCGAGATTGTAAGTTTTCATTGTGGATCACCTGCAATCGAAGTTGCGATTCTTCCAAAGCTAAGTGATGTTCACATTCTGCATAACGGTCATGTTCAGATCTTATGTTACTACGGAACTCCTTCATGATCTCGTCCCTCTTCATGTCAGCAGCATCAAGCTCAGTTTCCAGTCGTCTAACGTTCATGGACATGGTGTGCTTCATTGTCTGATTTTGATTGGCAACCTCGAGCATCTCGATCTGCAAAGCACATGTTTGATCATTGGCGTAGCCGACCGCTAGGGCTTCCTGCTTGGCATTCATCTCCGCGTTTTCCAGTTCCAGTCTAAGTTGATTGATGTGAGCGTTCGCATCGGCGCCCACATGTACCATAATTGCGCTCGCTTGTCCCATTTGTTCATCGAATTCCGAACGTAGTCGTGAATATTTGAATTCCAAATGAGATGCAGCTTCATTCGACATAGTCTGATACCTTTCCAACTCTTCGATCCTGTAGGTCGCACCTTCATCTTCTTGTTGTGCAGCCTGTAACTCGAAGTTCAGCATCTGGAGTTGTTCGGTCATAGACATCATCTCTTGATGAGTGGTGCTTTCCAGGAAATTAAATTGTTGATAGGCATAAGCTGTCGTCTCGGTCAATCTAGCCTGAAGTACGGATTCTTCTTCAGTGGCTTTTTCCAGTGATGTCTTGTATTCAGCTAATTCACTCTGATAGGCAGTGAAGATGTCGCTACCACTTGATGGGGCGTTCACTTGCTGATAAGATCCTGTCCCTGATGGAGTAGCGTCCTGAATCGGTGAAGGCGGATTCGACGACGTAGTCTTTGCCTTAGTCCTTGGAGTCATCGGAGGCGACAATTGTCGTGCAGATGATCTTCTCTTTCCAGGTGTGCTGTCCCTATCTTCAATTGCTTGCATTGTCGAAATTTGTCTCCCTCTAGGAGCAACCAGAGGTCGCCTGGGTTGGCTTGTTCTCAGTTCTGAGGCATCGCTTCCACCAGTGTCGATACTCTGTGAAGAATTTGACTGCGTGCCGGCAGCTGGTGCAACGGCATGTCCAGAGAAAGAAAATGCATTATCGCTGCTATCCTGCTCAGTCATCTGTAAGGCCCGCGGCTACCCGCTCGTAGGCTCCGTAGGAGTCCTACGGCTGATAACCTGCGAATCGGGGATTGTATGTCCGATTATATCCTGGTACTTGGGGTTGAAGTAAGTGCTTCGGTGACGACTTCACTCGGATGGCGGCTTCTGCATGGCAACTCTTTACTCTGATGCTGCAGTGGGTCTTGAGCCAAAGAGGCCAGTTTGAAATACCCCTTTGGCATTGGATCCTAGAGTGTCGAATTATATGTGAATATACAATCGTACGTAGCCTACACTCTATTCGCATGTATACATACATACACTGTGTATTATGTGTATTATGTGTATTATGTGTATTATGTGTAATACATATAAATATATATATATATACATACAATATCTATATGTAATATTGTATAATATATATATAATAGCTATATAAGACATTTAACACCAAATGTCATCAATAGTGCGTGTGCATGTATGTACTCATCTAGTTCATGTTTAAAAAGAAAACAGGATATGTGTGTGTGCATATATGTATAATCCCATGCCCCAATGTTAAACACTCCCTTTCTATAATTCTACGGTTCTCCATGTGATTTCATCCCCTATATCCACCATGGTTTCTGGGTGTTAAATATGAACGGGGCAGGAATGGATTATGTGCAGAAAAAATATCAGTGTCTGCGTGAATTACAATCATTCCCTAACCTGAAAATAGCTGAACAGTTTGGCCATGTAGAGATGAATCCCCTTACAATTCCCATCATTCCAGATCTTAATTCATCCAGATCTTAACCGTCACACATATATCCCAATGATCGCATCATTTTTGTTGGCTAAGTCACCATAATATGTACCCTCTGGTAAACTAACATAGCTATTGAACATGGCCAATTAGTTCGTTGATTTACCCAGCTATGAGATGGTGATTTTCCATGTTATTTTTGTATGTTTACCAAAGGGTACTGTACCTAGCAAATCATGTAACTCTCTGGCATCAACCTTTTCAGCCACCGGACACGGATCATTGACGCGTCTCATCGCTGTCGCTGCTGCCACTCTCTTCGGAACTGGAGGCACTGGAGGCATCCTGGCAGGGAGCGGCACATGGGATATGAATGGTGATATTAATGGGATGTGATGAATTGGTATAGTAATGGGAATTTACGGGATTTAAATGGATTTGAATGGATTTCAAGGATTTCAAGGGATACGAATTCGCCAACATCAATCAACCATAATGGGGATATACTGGAGAGACTCATGGAAGACATGGGGATACTTCTTGGGGATGGTGATGGTTGATCCATGATAGTCTCAGCATTGATCCACTATGTGTATATATATTATATATATATATACATACATACATACGCATATATGTAGGTAGATGACAGCCACAATAGGCTGTTGTTTGTCATTTTGACTCAGTTTACCTCTTTATCTATCGGCCAGGGAGGAACCCTCATAATCATTGGTGATTTTTGCTGCAAAAAGTATGGTTGAAACATGTTGAAACCCAGAAAACATGTTGAATATGGTCATCTAATGCCTGATGTTGGATTTGTTCTTAATCATTTCCTGCAAACGCTTCAAGAATAAGCATTCAAAGTATGGGACTCTGAGAGTCCAAGAATCATACCACCTGGATCAGCCTGGGTTTACAGTCCTTCTCAAAGGTTCTAGCCATGAAGCAAAAACCTGAATCACCCCCCTGGCTACCCCCTGGCTATTCAGGCCTTGTTGCAATCAACAAAGGATTGGGACAGGGATTTTTCATTATGCGGCGAATGATGTGCCGACAAACTTGAGGGCTTGGGGCTTGCTTCCTTTGGTGAAGCTGGTTGAGAGTTGAAACCCCTGATGTCTTGAAAGTGACCCCAAAAGCAGCAATAAAATCATGTGCAGTCAGGAAGTCAAAAAAACAACCGAAATGCAGGCAATGTTTATTCCCCTTCTTCGCTAAGCCTTGGCAATTTCCACTCGGCATCCTCTCCACCACTCAGAGATGCACTCTGGTGGTTTTTGCTGTCCATGAATCTAAGCCATCAATCCCATCAATCAGATACTTCATGATGTTAAATGCAGAATCGACCTGGGTCGACTCTATTTTTACAATCAGTGTCCTGGATGCCTCTGGTAATGTCACATAGCTATGGAAACTCCACCATGATTTCCGGTCACAGGAAAGCTGTTGAGTTCGCTATGTCCGCCTCCTGACAGAGCCGCTTGGACAGGAAGCGCCCGAGAGCCACCAGAATCAGCACCAGCAAGATGCAGGCAGCCAGCAGGCCCAGCATGAAGACCAGGAATGATAGCCTCCACTGACTTCAAGTGGCATTTTTAGGTTGTACCAGTTCGCCACAGGTAAATCATCGATACATGGGCCATTTTAAGCATAGCTGCAGTAGTTTACTGTACGGTACAAATCTCTTTGAGTCTATGGGCTGTTGAGGGATATAGCATACCCCTCATGGGGTCTAAAACCAGGAATGGCAACCTCATCCCGCCAGAAAATGAATGGGATTCCCCAACTACTGGATGTGTATACAAATATATATATATATATAATGTGTATATGTATATATATATATATATGTATATGTATGTATATGTGTATATATACATATATATATATGTAATTATATATATATATATGTGTGTATATATATATGTATATATATATGCATATATATATATATGTATGTTTTTTGCCAAAACCGATTTAGTTCGCGACTTACGGGCGTTGGCCCTACCCTGCTGTACGAATGATTATGGAGGGGCAAAATCAGGCGGAAAGAGAATCAGTCTACGCAAAGGTGAAATTTGAAGACAGCAATCTGTGCAAAATTCAGCTAGTAAACAGGAATTTATGTACATGTATCGTTCAGCAGAGGAGTAATTGGCAAGTAACTATTGGATTCCGTGCCTGGCGCATCACGCACAGACGTTTCACATAGAGTTCGTTCACATAGAGTTCGTTCACACAGAGTAGCGTTCAAAACGAGTTCGATTACAGACGTTTCACATAGAGTTCGTTCACACAGAGTATCGTTCAAAACGAGTTTGATCACACCAAAATATATATATATATGTATATGTATATACTGGATATTTTAGCCTCTATTACATAGTGGGGGGGTGACCATCCTCCAATATTTTTTTACATTATCTCGACTCCACGGGTATCACTTGCAACTATTCTTAGGTTGCACCTCAATAGTAAGAAGTGAATCATAGACCAGATAGTGAATCAGTGAATTCAAGGTCTATCTTCAGGACACAATTCCAAGGATGTTCTATCAGGATTCTATCGGTTTATGAAAAAAAAACAGATGTCACCAGCCTTCTTTTTATGAGCGGGGAGATTCATTTGAAACCACAAATGAGACCTGAAACCGGAAAACATCCAATTTGTTTCTCCCCTGTTTGGTGCCCAGGTGTGCTTGCTTGGATGGTCAAAACCCAGGATTTGTGGGTGTGGAGCCATCTGGTATTACTATCTATAGGTATTGATCCATAGCCATATGTACCATAGTCAAAACATGAGATTAATGGGGTAATGTAAATCCAAACATCATGGGTCTACAATATACCTATGCATTGATGAACATACCCCAAAAAAAAACTGATCAATTTTGACCCAAATAACTTGTATGTATGTATTTATGTATGTATGTATGTATGTATGTATGTATATAAATACAATATAATATTTACGTAGAACTGGATTGATGCCCGGAGTTCATAGTTGGGTTTGTCTGACAAACAAGGGCAAAAACCCGAAAATCAACTGGTTGATCATCATTTTCCAATTCAACTTGTTGTTTGGGAGTATCCCCTATTTTGAGGACACCCATGTTTGAAAAGTTGTACACTGTGCAGGGTATAGAACACAGGTGAACAGTTGATGTTGTTAACCTGATATAGCCATGTAGCATTAAGTGCTCAAAGGTGGCCGATGCCATGTGAGGTGATTCTTGGTCATCTTCTAATATGGCTATGGATCAATTGCTATAGTCTATAGTACTACCATAATTTTGGGGAGGCTGAACATCCATAAATCCCAGCTATCTTTGGGTTCACCAAAATTCCAGGGTGTTGACCCATAGCCATATGTGCCGTGGTCACATACATACCTACCTACCTACCTACCTACATACATACATACATACATTAATTACATACATACATACATACATACATGCATACATAAATACATACATACATACATACATTACATACATACATACATAACATACATACATACATACATACATAACATACATACATACATTACATTACATTACATTACATTACATTACATTACATTACATACATACATTACATACATACATACATACATACATTACATACATACATTACATACATACATTACATACATACATTACATACATACATACATACATTAATACATACATACATACATTAATACATTACATACATACATACATACATACATAGATACATACATACATACATACATAACATACATACATAACATACATACATACATACATACATACATTACATTACATTACATTACATTACATTACATTACATACATTACATACATTACATACATTACATACATACATACATACTATACCTAATTAACATACTACTACATCCCTAACATTCGACATACATAAACATACATAACATAACATTACCTACATTACATACATAACATACATACATAACTACCTGAACATTCATACACTACTACATACATACAATCAGGTACATTAACATTACATTACATTACATTCAATACATTACATTAACATTACTTACATCATACAGTTACATACATACATACTCCATACATACATACAGTACTCATACATACATACATACATCAACTACCTACATACATACATACATACCATACATACATACATCCATACATACAACATACATTTACATAGTTACATACTTTACATACATTTCACATACATACATCATACATACATACATTACATCCATATCATTACGCGACTCATTACATACTACATTACAATTACAAATACAAAAAATACTTACATACATTACATTACTACATACGTTACATACATACTACAGCATACATACATGCATGCATGCATGCATCCATGCATACCTCATACATACATAATACATACATTACTCCATTACATACATACATACGATACTACCAAAATACATCATACATACCTACATTACAACATACATACATTCACAAACCCATAGACCCCCCCCCTAACCCCCCCCCCAAGAGGCCTTAACCTCACCAGTACTCATTGACTTGCCCAAAAGAGCTGAGCACTACTAAGCTCTACTAAGCCTTACTAAGCCTTACTAAAGCTTACTAAAGCTTACTAAGGCCAAAATAGCACTCAATGCATTGAGCACTACTGAGTGCCAAATTTTGGTCTAAAACTTTCACTCGATGGTTTTCATGTCCCATCGAGCACTACTGAGTCACTACTAAAGCTTACTAGTGCTCAATTCAAGTTCGATCAGGTGGGGCCTACATTTTCATGAATCAGTGTCTCGATGCAGCCGTTTTGCCAGGTTGACTCACAAATGTGAGGCAATTGAGGTCAAGGAGTGCTGTGAAAATAAAAAAAAAGTATCAATAATAAGAATTACCCATTGGTTCACCATTTTTTTGGAATGATGGATTTACCACAGACGACACTTAATTTTAATTTGAGTATCCCAATTCCATTGTTGGTTGTTTCCATGAAATTAATCTGTCACCAATCTTCCTTTAACATCTAACTTTTCACAACAGGTCAATGCTACAATATTCAGATATATTCAGATTATCCAGCCATTTTGGCCATGGACAAATCATGAGTTTCACAGAGGCTCGAAAATTTTTCCCAGAGGAGGGAGAACCGCTTACAATCTACATTTCTGCAGTGGACCAGTGCCAGTGGGTTCTACACCATGTTTGCGCCCACTTCTTCGCTTCAAATTCTGGAGAGAAAATGAAAAACAGATTTGGAGAAACTATGGATTCTATCAGAAAGTTTCACAAAGCAGTTTGGCCTGTAGATGATTTTCCAGAAATCTGGGTGTCAAAAAAAAACGAATTGGCAGGACAAGGTTCTATTTTTGTAGAGAATACAATTGCAACATCTGTGGTCATCACTGCGTGTATCAAATATGTGCTGTCACCCAAGCGGCCAGCATCACTCCGGCAATCTGCTTATTCGCTACTTCGTTCATTGGTGACAAGTGTTTTTCAGAGCCTGGATGATGACGATAGAAAACGCAAACTCTTGAAAACAACCGCCCAAGGTGTTTTCCAAATTGAGGCTTCCATTGACAACAGAGGCTTCCTGGAGACACCATTGTGGTGCAGAGGTCTTGGGATACAGTTGGAAAAATTTTGGAATTTGAACCTCATTGAGGCCACTGTTCCATGGGTATCATCGAATTTTGAAAAACCCCACATAGCGGACCTTATTTGTTTTGCACTGGACACTGCCCCCCGGTCGATGCAGAGAGTTGAACGCTTGGAATTGGACCACTTGCGGACTACAATCGAGATTTCGTTCAGATTCCTGGTTTCCGATGTTGTCCACGTGATCGAGCACAATATCTTAAAGATTAGTAGAACGCAAGAAGACAGCCAGGCTTTGTTAAAGGCAGTGGGCCCAAGAAAGCTGAAACGCAGAAAACTGAGCCCCATGGAAATGAACATGGCCATTGCCGGGGCACTCAAACTTATGTACAACAAAGAGGCCCCTCGTCGTTGATAGCAATCCCATCTCCTCATAATTTTAAATACCTCTAGCCTTCCCCCCGAAAATATTGATAAATTATGATCAATTTACATAGATCCAAAGACAGGGGGGTCGATGAGGTATTTAATATTTGGAAGGGGTAATGTTTTTCCTTTTCAAAAAATAGGTGTTTTAATTTTATTGACCCCTGAAAACCGCAAAGTTTACATTTCCACAATCATAAAACCCTAATCCCCGTGAGGCCAAATCGATGCGGTCTGCTCTGGATCGCTCGGGTGGAAAGGATCTGGCACCAGACCATTGCCAAGGGAGAATTTGCGTTTCTTGGCATAGTAAAATAAGGTGAACAAAAAATCAGGTAGTATTGACTTGAACACAGGAAAACACATCCACATTATACTGATGATTCTTATGTTTCGGTGTATTTGCAGCAAACCAAATCTTGATATGGTAAGGCAGTGTTGGCTGCGCGAGTCCGTGGTGAATTTGCGGGACAAAAGCACTTTCAGGCTCGGCCGCATTTTTTTCAGTGCCCGCATTACAGTAACTCAGTAGTTCAATGTTCTCTGGGACCCAGAATCTCAGAAGCAGCCCGCAGGTCATTTTCGATGGTTCAACCACAGCTGGAAAACCAACTGAATATTTTCAGGCCGGGGTTGAATCTTGTCAGATCCTTTCAGTACGTAATCTATTTGAAGAATCACTGGTGTGCAGGTTTTTGCCCCATGGGTTGGCTTGGGGACATTTGCTCCTCCGCTGGTGCCTTCCTGAGAAAAGTATGGATTCAACGCAGATTCATGGGTTTTCTGAGATTAAAAAGTCCATAGATTTTTTCAATGCAATGAAGATCTACCATTCCGAGAAAAACCCATGAAATAATTCAGAGCGTTTGCTGAGTCAAAGACTAAGATTCATTCAATGCTCCGCAGCTCAGGACAGTTCCAGAGATTTTAGAAACTTAAGGAACCCTCCAGGACCAAGAAGAAATATATTCCCCACAATTATTAATTAATTCCCCATTGATTTCCCATCATTAATTATTACATTAAAAATTCAGTAAATCCTGGAATCCACGTAAGTAAAGTTCATCCAGAGCAATAGAGCATCACAGAGCAATGTCGCTGTCTGCCCAGCCATCATATCGGGGCACCAGCACCGGCAACTCGCACTCGGCGATGAAGTCGTCCTGGATTTCGGTCAGCGAGGTTTTTGGTAATTCTGGGGATGCAGAGGGCCCAATCCCGACGCCCAGTTCCTCATTCTCTACAGACCCTTTCGAGGCATGTCATGTTGTTCTGGAAACCAATTTTTTGGGTTTTCAATTTATATTCTACTGGTCATGAAACGCCCCTGCAAGGTGGCACACGGTGAATCTAGATTGGAGACTGCAGCTAAGTCATTGCAAATGGCTTGGCATGTTATTCTGAACAAGCTCACCGAGGCAGAATTGAGGAAGTCTTTGCTAGGTACTGGTCGGTGCTACATGTCAACCAGCTGCACTGGGGTCTACACAGCAGAAGTAGGGCTGGCATTGATAGAGAAAATGGTGAATGAGTCAGGGGTTTTGGGCGCAGTTCGACTAGAAGCTGCCAGCTGTCATGATACTAGCCTCGCACATGGTCGAGTCAATAATTTTATATTTTATAAAAATTAAATATAATAATATGTCGTTATTTTATACCCCCAAACAATGCTAAACCCCATCTCACCATAACCAAAAAAAATCACAGCCCTTTTCCTTTTCCAGCATTCAATTTCCGATCTCTCTAAGGAAATGGACAACCACTGCAGACAATGCATCCAGGACAACCATGCGTGGGTGAATAGCTGGAGTCCGAGGCAAACTTGTATTCCACACATTTTTGGGAACATCCTTCACCAAGTGGATTTGCCCGCCATTGCCACCCAGAGCTCAGCAAAGAATAGGCCAAGGCACCCCTTCAAAGTTCGGAAAGACGCAATTCTGAAGAAACCTTTGAAGCAACGGCAGTGGTGTTTTTCCCATGGCCGGAACTGCAAAATTACGGATGATGTGGATTTCGATTTCAGTGGTCTACCCTGTCAAGACAATTCTCGTGCAAATTTTACCAGACTGTTTTTCGAAGGTCCCAATTCCAACACGTACATTGTGTGGGCAAAAAAACACCTTCAGTTACGTACACCGGTCCTTCTTCTTGAAAACACTCCCGTTACTTTGATTTTGCATCAGACACAGTTTTTGTTTTCTTGAAGTAAGGAGTTTTAAATGTACATCCCAACATTACCTGAAACCAGCTCAAATCAAATCAGCCTGCATCTAAGGATCTTCCTCTCGAAGAAGTGGCCCTGCTCCTCAGTGACTACCAGTTGTATCCACTTTTCGTGGATCCGGCTGATTGTGGCCATGCGGGCATCCGTCGGACTCGAGTGTACGTTTATTGTGTTCACAATGAAACGGGCGTTTACCTCTATGACCTCTATGAAATGTATGCCTCCATCACCAAACTGATCAAACGGACTGTAGCTACGGAAGTCCAGGACTAGTGTGAATGGGCATCCATCCCTTGGCACCACCCCGAAATTTCAAATAATAGGAATTTTATATTTTGGGAATCGGAGAGTATCATTTTTGGGGAAAAAACAACATCTTTTTCGGGGGTCAAGACTCCCCAGGACTACTTCGTCGCTACAAAGCTGGCACAGCAGGTCCATGCAAGGAGCATTTGTGAGATGAGGGGCTTCGAGTTTGACCCAGAATCTTTAAACTATTTGTTGTAATATGTTGTTTTTCCCTGCTTCACATATTATGCATGGGATCCAGCAAGGGTGGGGGGCAAATGGCAACCCTCAAATTCACTGTTCCCAGAAATTTACTAAAAACAGAAACATATTCAGTGGAGCATTGGGAAACTATAAATGGGATCAAGTGCAAATCATCAAAAAAAAATCGAGGAAACTTATTAAATTTTTGCCATTTGAGTGCAGATCAGTTGTTGTGGCCGGGTGAATTTTGAAAAACAATGGAAACATAATGAAGAACACTGCACAAATGAAAAACTGATAATCAAAATAAGTTAAAAACATTGAAAAACAATGAAAATATAATAATGAAAAATAATGAGCACCATTTAAAAACAATAAAACATAATGAAAAACATTGAAAAACAATGAACAATAATCAAATACATTGAAAAAACAAATAAATAACAAATGAAACAATGAAAAAACAATGAAAACATGGAAAAAAAAACAAACAATGAAAAACTGCAAAAAAAAACATGAGAAAAATAAAATAAACAATGAAAAAAAATGAAAAAAACAATGAAAAAATGAAAAATAAAATAAATCATGAAAAAATGCAAAAAACAACAATGAAAAAATAAAGAATAAAATAAATCATGAAAAAACAATGAACACATTAAACAAAAAAACAATGACAAAACTGAAAAACAATTGAAAAAAACATGGAAACAATAATAAAAAAATAAAAAATAAAAATTAAAAAAAACATGAAAAATGAAAAAATAAAAACTGAAAAAAACTTGAAAAAAAAAATAAAAAAACTGAAAAAAATGAAAAAATAAATATAATATTAAAGCTCGAGGACTTCGACCCAGGCTCGAGGACTTCGACCCAGGCTCGAGGACTTCGACCCGGACGAGTCGTTTCTCCGCTAACGCGCGCGGAAAGGCTGGCCCGAGGACTTCGACCCCGACACCGGGGTAGTGCTACGGGGTAATACAACGGTGAAACACAACGGGGAAACAAAAGGGGAAACAAAATGGAAAAATGAAAAAATCAAAAAAATAGAAAAGTCACATCTATAAATTTTAAATCTATTTAATAGCTTTAAAACAATGTATGTATATAAATCGAATTATTTTTTTTTCGAAATATTTTTTTTGTATTTTTTTCATTTAGTTTTACTACAAATCATATTTTAAAGCATTGCAATACTCATTTGTAGTAAAACTAAATGAAAAAATACCAAAAAAAAATCTTTTTTTTTTTATTTTTTAATTCGATTTATATACATACATTGTTTTAAAGCTATTAAATAGATTTAAAATTTATAGATGTGACTTTTCTATTTTTTTTGATTTTTTCATTTTTCCATTTTGTTTCCCCTTTTGTTTCCCCGTTGTGTTTCACCGTTGTATTACCCCGTAGCACTACCCCGGTGTCGGGGTCGAAGTCCTCGAGCCAGCCGCTGTCGGGTCGAAGTCCTCGAGCCTGGGTCGAAGTCCTCGAGCCTGGGTCGAAGTCCTCGAGCTTTAATATTATATTTATTTTTTCATTTTTTTCATTTTTTTCAGTTTTTTTTTTTTATTTTTTCAAGTTTTTTTCAGTTTTTATTTTTTCATTTTTCATGTGTTTTTTAATTTTTATTTTTTATTTTTTTATTATTGTTTCCATGTTTTTTTCAATTGTTTTTCAGTTTTGTCATTGTTTTTTGGTTTAATGTGTTCATTGTTTTTTCATGATTTATTGTATTCTTTATTTTTTCATTGTTGTTTTTTTTGCATTTTTTCATGATTTTCTTTTATTTTTCATTTTTTCATTGTTTTTTTCATGTTTCCTTCTTTTTCATATGTTTTTCATATGTTTTTCATATGTTTTTCATGTTTTTTTCATATGTGTTTCATGTTTTTCATGTTTTCATTTTTTTTTCATATTATGTTCATTGTTTTTTTCATTTTTTCATGTTTTCATTTTTGTTGCATTGTTTTTCATATTATTGTCATTTGTTCATTCTTTTTGATCATTGGTTCATTGTTTTTTTCACTTTTCCATTATGTTGTTTTTCAATTTTTCATCTTTAATTTTTTTTTCAGTGTTTTTTGTGTTATTATGTTTCAATGTTTTTCACTTTTATTTATTCTCCATTCGACGTTTCGGGCAGCCTTTTTCCCCCCCCCCTTGGCCGACCCTATGTACTATGAAATATTGGGTGTTGACGGGGACATACGGGGATACATCTGTGGGATTGTTGTGGCCCCGAAATAATTCATCCAATTCATGGTGTTTTTTTTTAGGACATGACAAGCAGACCTAGGATCGCCCGGTGGACTCAATGTTCAATTCTCGTGAGCGCAGTGTCATTGCTGAGTTGAATGAGGCATATTTGGAAAGGACTGGTGGGAACCCCCCCGAAAAAAACAAAAATTTGGTCTATTTTTTGGGAGATAATCCCAAGTGGGCAAAAACGTGGTCAGCGGCAAGCCACAAACTGCCGACCTTCCGCCGGAACGGTGGTTTCTACTATAGCCCAGCGACTGCCAGAGTCATGCTGCCCACAGACAAGTTGGCCGCACTCGGCTGGCCGACCAATTTGCAGGCCGCACGGGGTATGGGGACCAAGAAGTTTCCTGCCATGGATCGCCGAAGAGGCGATCTAGTGGCAGGCAACGCGATGCATCTGGGGAACTCAACAATTCTCCTACTCTTGGGCCTTGTTTGCTTTGGACATCAAGATGATGCCCTGCAGTTCGATGACTTGTAAGTTGAAACTCCAGGATCCGTCAATTCAATGCTGCTGTAACATCAAAAAAATGAGAGATCGAGCAGAAATTTATCACCACCAACAAAATGATGTCACTTTAGCACACCCTGTTCATTTTGTAGTGTCAGGTCTACTTTCCAGTGAGGTAGAGATCAACAAAATGAAATCCACATGAAATCACTCATGACAATGCATGGTTCCTGGGCAAAGGATTTGGAAAATTCTGACCTGACTTGATTCCAGCAGCTGTTTGATTCAATCCCAAATAAATCAATCTGAATCCCTCAGCCCCGCTTGAAGACCAGTGAGACTCACCCATGGGAAGGCCTCCTAATGTCCCGCCCGCACCACCGAAGAAAGGAGTGGTTGTTAAGGCAAAGCCTGCCCCCTCAAAGCCGCCTGCAAAGAAGGACAAAGTGCCGGCACCCAAGGCCTCAGCCACACGGCCACCCCGGGGATCAATTCCAGCATCCAAAAGTTCTAAGAGGGCCCGAGAAGTAGAGGAGACTGAGGAGGATGAGGGAGTGTAACTCAATTGAAATTCACAAGCATTTGTTTCTTGATTTTTGCTAAAAAACAAGTTTGTGGATTTCTGAAAATCACCGAACTGATTCCAGGGTTTAATGGGATTTACTTAATTCATTTATTTAATTCATGGGTTTAATTAATGGGATTTATTTATTTAATTCATAGGGTGTCATGGTAACTTAATGGGAATGAATTGGATTTCATTAAATTGAATTGGGGATTCAATAAGTTTTTTTTTACTGTGAATTTGATTGGATCTAAGGGGGACTTGATGAGATTTTACCAAGTAACTCCAAAAACACCAAGTCAAGTGGGAATTCTAAAGTTTACCACATGAGTGCTACTCAATAAATCCATGAATGAACAAATGAGGTGGCCGGGACAACTCGTCCCTCGGGAAGACTCCGGATCAGAAGACTCGGAAGAGCCACAGATTCTCGAGTATGAGGATGATGATGAGGGATCCCCGCGGCAGGACTCTTCCCCTTCACCCGTCATCGTCCGCGGCAAGAAGAAGGGCAGGACTGGGGATAAGGATGACAAGCCCGTGTCAATGCGTAGTGTCAGGAGACATGATTTAGAGAAATATTCGGGCAGCTATTCGCAGGTGGGCCAGTTCCCAGTTTTTCGGTGCAATTTGGGAGAAAGAATAATTTTGATATATTTTGATTATGCTTAGTTTATTACTTCCCTTACTAGCTGATTCCCTCCCATCAATACTTTTGTCAAATGTCCGTGATCGGCCCTGTGCTAAAATTGAGGTGCAGCACCTCTATTCCTGGCTCAAAGGAATCCACCCCTCCAAGTTCACGGAATTCTTGTACAACCGCATCACCAAGAACCAGACTTTGGCCTACATCTATTTGATGACTGGGGTGACAAAGGGTGAGAAGATTCCATCGCAACTGATTTTAATTTTTGTTTCGGAAATAAAAAATGAGGAATACTACAACAGTAACTGACAACAGGTGGACAGCCCAATGTCATCAAGGCAAAAATAAATAAATCTTTGTTTCAATCATGGGTTGCATGTGCAGAGGTAGGATCCCCAGGTATAGTTTACCAATGGCACCAACTAACCACAACATCTCACTCGCATTTATTAATATTGTAATTATTATCCTGATTCTATACTGATTCTACCGTGTTGGCCAGCCCCATTAATATTTATTCCCAATGAACCAAATTCAATTGAGGCACAGCAAGGCCGAAATTGTCGAGGACCTCAAAAAGGAGTGGGGCAAGATCGGGTCGTTGTGGCTCGATGAGTCTGATCCTTGGATCGAGCCGGATGGAGCCCTGCAACTCACTCATGCCCATTTCAAGCGGCATGCAGTTAAAATGCCTGATGGGTCACTGAAAATCCCCACGCGTGTGCCCCATCCAGGCAAGAAGAATATCTTGATGCAAATCCGGGAAATCAGTGGTGAGGGCACGAATTCCGGGACCCCCGCTCCCACTCCCCAGGAAGAATCCATTGATGGGGAGAAACTTGAAGTCACGTACCGGATCGGTTCTTTCAAGGATGGATTCAAATTGAGGGCCCTTGATTCTAGTGAAAATGTCTTGAATGAGGTGGCGCTCCCTCCCCCCGTGGATGGTCGCAGCTACATGATCATTGATTTTGATGGAGAGGAGTATTTCCCCCAGGAAGGTAACATGCTCAATCTCATGCTTTGTTCCAAGTACATGGCTGACAACCTGCCAAAGCCAGTGTTGCCAAAGAAGTCGGCAACTACCACAGTGGGGAATCTCGGGCACCCTCTGCCAACACTGCCGCCCAAAAAGTTGCCAACTATGGACTCCGATTCCGATGTTGAAGGCTCAGCGGCTGAGGCTGAGACTAGCCCAAAATTTGGATTAAAAACTGGGTGTATTCACTTACAAATTTCATGGATAGTGGTGAAGCAACTGTTGAAATTAATTGGGGCTGTCAAGGGGGCGGCGTGGTGCTTGCACAGTGTCATAGTGATGTAATTGCGCATACCTTGGGCCCTGTATAATATTCATAATATTATTATTATTATTCTAAAAAAAATGTTGGGACTTACAACTACAAGCTTGGGCTTGGTTCTGATGGTTTTTCATTGATTTTTGGCGGCGTTTGTGAATTGTGCGCATGAAACCGCATCATGAACTTTTTTTGCAGGGCTAAAATCTTTGGATTCATGGACATTACATGTTGCCCCCAAAATCCCAAACTTAGGACGGCTGGACATTCCCCAAAATTTACGAGATCAAGCAGGGTGAGAATAACTATGGCTTGTTCTACCAGGGCAAGGAGGTTGAGCTTGAGGCCGGTGTCAAGTTCTACATCAAGGAGGACGAACGCATGGAGTACAAGGGTGAATTCCTTGTGTACCCAGCCGATGAGAACTCCATCATCCACCCCCGGTTTGTTTCCAAGCTTCTGAAGAAGAGGGGCTCAGAGCATCCCAGCAGCATATTTGACCACCACCTGGTCCTTAGTTTGATCAACAGGTTTTGGGGATTCATTTCGTTCACAAAATACAGGTATTTAGCTAGAAACCCCATCATTGAGGTTTACCACAAATAAACAAACAGCATGGCAATAACACCCGTTTTTTGTGAGCACAGTTGAAATCAAATCACCCCTCCCTGTACTAGCTCAACAAAAATCAAAACCCATCAAAAACGGTGGCAAAAGCCAAGAAAACTTCAGCAAAACAAATGGAAACAGCATGGGGATTGCATTTCTCAGCAGTCAGCAGTGCTCAATCTGCAACTAATTTCAAGGTTTTTTGGTTTTTTTCAGGCTCGGGGTGAAAAAGAAAAAGAAGCCAAAAATAGCCATCAAAAATTGGGGAAAACAATGAACAAAACAATGCGAAAAACAATGGGAATGCTATTGAAATGCATTTTTTTGACACTTTCAAGGTGAAAAACAAGGGGACTTATTGAAAAAAATACCAAAACCCATCAAAAACCATGGCAAAAACCAAGAAAACTTCAGCAAAACAAATGGAAAAAGGCTGGGGATTGCATTTCTCAGCAATGCTCAATCTGTAACATATTTCGGAGTTTTTCCTGACTTTTTGCAGGGTCAAGGCCGAAAAAGGTGAGAAATAAGCCAAAAAATAGCGCAAAAATCAATCAAAAATTGAGGAAAAAACAATGATATCTGGACAAAACAATGGGAAAACACACACAAAACAAATGCAAAAAGGGTGGGAATGGGATTTCTCAACAGCACTCAGCAGCACTCAGCAGCACTCAGCAGCACTCAGCAACACTCAGCAGCACTCAGCAGCACTCAGCAGCACTCAGCAGGCAGTGCTCAATCTGCAACCAATTTCAAGGTTTTCCTGACTTTTTGCAGGCCCAGGGTGAAAATAGAAAAAGAATCCAAAAAATAGCGCAAAAATCCATCAAAAAACTGGGGAAAAACATTGGGAATGCTATTGAAATGCTCTGTTTTTGACCAAAACCCATCAAAAACCATGGCAAAAACCAAGAAAACTTCAGCAAAACAAATGGAAAAAGGCTGGGGATTGCATTTCTCAGCAATGCTCATTTCGGAGTTTTTCCTGACTTTTTGCAGGGTCACGGCCGAAAAAGGTGAGAACGAAGCCAAAAAATAGCGCAAAAATCCATCAAAAATTGAGGAAAAAACAATGATATCTGGACAAAACAATGGGAAAACACACACAAAAAAAAAATGGAAAAAGGGTGGGAATGGGATTTCTCAGCAGCACTCAGCAGCACTCAGCAGCACTCAGCAGCACTCAGTAGCACTCAGTAGCACTCAGTAGCACTCAGCAGCACTCAGCAGCACTCAGCAGCACTCAGCAGCACTCAGTAGCACTCAGTAGCACTCAGCAGCACTCAGCAGCACTCAGCAGTGCTCAATCTGCAACCAATTTCAAGGTTTTCCTGACTTTTTGCAGGCCCAGGGTGAAAATAGAAAAAGAATCCAAAAAATAGCGCAAAAATCCATCAAAAACTGGAGGAAAACATTGGGAATGCTATTGAAATGCTCTGTTTTTGACAGTTTCAAGTAAAAAACAAGGGGAATGATTGCAAAAAACTACCAAAACCCATCAAAAACAATGGCAAAAACCAAGAAAACTTCAGCAAAACAAATGGAAAAAGGCTGGGGATTGCATTTCTCAGCAATGCTCAATCTGCAACATATTTCGGAGTTTTTCCTGACTTTTTGCAGGGTCAGGGCCGAAAAAGGTGAGAACGAAGCCAAAAAATAGCGCAAAAATCCATCAAAAATTGAGGAAAAAACAATGATATCTGGACAAAACAATGGGAAAACACACACAAAACAAATGCAAAAAGGGTGGGAATGGGATTTCTCAACAGCACTCAGCAGCACTCAGCAGCACTCAGCAGCACTCAGCAACACTCAGCAGCACTCAGCAGCACTCAGCAGCACTCAGCAGGCAGTGCTCAATCTGCAACCAATTTCAAGGTTTTCCTGACTTTTTGCAGGCCCAGGGTGA